CTTCTGGTATTTTCCCTTGCTTATGGGTAGTGAGATCGGGCGCCCGTGTGCATTTTTGCGCACTTAAAAAATCCTTTAGCATTTGGATATTGAAAAGAGTAGCCTGACGGTGCTGCCCGGGAAACATTTTTGGATTTAAATATCCACCCAAAGTATTTCAGGATCCTCGCCGGTGCTACAGAGCCTGTGCACTATGCTGAACTTCTTTGGACTCAGACTTGAGTTAGAAGAAAGAACGTAGCACTTATGGGTTACTACCCGTGTGCCATGACGTTTATCCGTTGCTCAAACTTCAAACTTATCTCCAATATGCTATTCCTCTGCTTGATTATGCACTTTCCTAGTTCCCCTTCATCTAAATTTTCATCATCGGCCTCTAAAGACAGAAATCTCATCGTTCATCTTTACTCTAGGCCAGCTGTTCTCAACCTGTGGGTGGCGAAAGACCCTTTTAGGGGGTCGCCTAAGACCATCGAAAAACCCATATTCACTGGAGTTTTGAATTAGCAACGAAAATTATTTTATGGTTGGGGTCAGCACAGCATGAGGAACAGTATTAAAGGGTGGCCTTATTAGGAGGGTTGGGAACCACGGCTCTACGCGTAACTTTAGTACAATGAATTTTGAAATACGAACATAATATACTTGATATATCAGCTAAAAATGAAAGGAGAGTGCTTGGAAGGGTCAATTAAGACGAGCCTGTGTACCCAGTATGTAACATTTTTTTAAAATAAAGCTCTGTCGTTCGTTTCTAACCTTGTAATGTCTTGTAGCATCATGGCAGAAAGAGACGTGCAGCACGGGCCCTTATGCTCGCTTCGCATATTATACTTTTCGGTGTCTGTTTCGCTGTAAAATTATAAAATTAACAGCAGAAACAATAACGCTTTTTTCATGAAAAAAAATCTTAGCGCTCGCGAAAAATTCTGGTTGTTCACCTACTTCTGGACTTAACTCTTGTTTCATAACTTCAGTTTACAGTGCACATCTGTTTTATCTATCTGACTTATTTGTGGGCAGACAGTTGAATCTTCGCCTTTCAGGCAGGTACACATCGATTTTAACGGAGTCTTAATTATTGTCTTCTTTGGCGACCGGGTCACCCACTGGCTCGCCGGTAGACAGCTTCGTCGCAGGTCGGGACAGTATTTTGGTCAATAGCATCAAAACTGCAGGAATCCTTTTCAGGGCTTTTTGTGGCGTGCAATGCTAAGCCAATTAAAATGGCTTTGGGGATGCTGGTTCAACGTGATGATTTTTTTCCCCATGAAAAAACCTACCAACTAAGTATGATGATGATTTTCTACCCCACCAGGAGATCACACAAGCGATAAACACCCGATGACACAACGTGCCACCATGTGGATGAGGATCGCCGTGGAGAGGTCCCAGAAACCGCGTTCAGACATTTGGCCATACTGATGACCTGCCTGTATTGCGGCCCCTGGAAAAAGCCAGAGTAGGGCTTTAAACAAAAAATTTCATCCTAAAAAGGACGAACCAAAATCGATATGTACCAACTAAGTAGATTTCTTCTTCTTCGCGTTCACCAGCTGAATAACTCCAGCGGACAGTTCTGATTGTTCGTCTGCTTCTAAACCTTTTAGTCTTGTTCCAGAACCCGAGTGTTGCGTGAACATCCGTTTTACAGATCTGACTTATCAGTATACGGATATTTGGTGCCTTGTCTCTTAGAAAGATGCACTCCGACGTTGAAAAAAGTCCTCAGTTAGTCAACTCCTACGACATGCTTTTAGGGAGGCAGTTGCTAAACGGAACCCACAAGGGGAATATTCATTGGTTGTTTTACATCGTGCTTCTTGGGGTGGTCGCAGTCTGTAGCTTAAACATTGCGAAAGAGCTTCGTAATGCCGGGGATCCGGGTTCGATCCCAGCTACGGGCCTTGCGTCTCGACAGTGGTATCGAGCAGTCGACCGTCCCAAAAAAGCAATGGCAAACTACTAGACGTAAACTTAACTAGAACAATCATAACAGCCAAACAGTGCTGGGGTTAGTTTGGCAACGTCCTGTTCTTGATACGCAAGCAACTTCCTTGGAGTAGGGGAGCAGATGGTCTACCCCTCCTCCAAATGGGGCGGCAGAATCAACATCGGGAGTTAACATTTTAATATTGGACATTCTAGTGTTCATGGAGGCTGTCGTTCTACTATTTACTACCGACTACTTGTATTAACAACAAACTGCTTTTCTGGGGGCGACTTTTGGCTTTGGCGCCTCTGGCAACTGCTATATGCGTTTCCTGCCTGCGCCTATTTATGCATTGTTCCAGGACTAATTGTTTGTTCACCATTTGTTTTGCTTTTTCTATGTGACAGAGAGGGACATTTCATTTGATTTGCACTGGCACAGGAATGGAGCAAATCTGGGAAAACCCGATTGCAGTGAAGTTGAAACTTAAATAAAACTAAGAAATGGTTGCTATCATCGTGATATTTTTATCTGTAACGCTATTATCATCATCCATATCATCCTCCTCAGTATCGTAATTATTGTCACCGACATTATTATTTTCAAATACGACAGCTGCAGCTAATAATAATAATAATACTAATACCAAAAAAAACTATCACTTGTTCATCCCTGCTGCTGCTGCTACTACTGCTGCTGCTGCTGCTACTGCTACTACTGCTACTACGACTGCTTACTACTACTAATATGACTACCACGATTAGTAGTATAGTAGCAGAAGCCGTAGAAGCATTAGTAGTAAATCAACTGCAACTTCAAAAACCACTACTACTACTGCTGCTACTACCACTTTTAGCTCTGCTACTTCAATTATTATTATTACTACTATACTACTGCTACTCACGAAATAATTGATGTCATTAACATTATTGTTATTTTATTATTATTATTATCATTATTATTATTTACAATATTATTGTTCAATAACCTGTTGAATACAATAATACTGGTAATTATGTCATTACTACCACTAATTTACTACTATTTCCTTTACTCCTCTACTACTGGTACGCCCACTGTTAAAGTGAACGTTTCTGCGACTAGTTCCAATAGATAAACTTCACTATGTATATAATAATATTGCTAACATTACTAGTATCAAAAACCAGAGCAAGATGCCAGCAGCAGGGTCTTAAAGTCTGAAAAAGCCAGGATGTTGGCTTGTCTAACGACGAGAATAGCCGCGATGAGATCGACAAGACATGCCCCGGCTACCAGCAAGGCAAAGAACTCGAGGGGGGAGAGTGCAGCCTCTTCTGACACAGGTGGGAGGGGGCTAGGCCGCGATAATGGCCAATTATTTGCTCGAATCCTTCCACTCGCGGCTGGGTATTCGCCCAGGTTCCGTTCGAGGCGGACCCATGTGCTCTACGTCACCGTTATGTGGGTCCTTGAAGGTCATTACGTCATTAGGTTAATCAACGATAAATTCGACGTTGGTTGGCGATGTTATAAGTCAAAAAGTCTTCGTCTCCTGGGGAATCGTCTAGTTTATTTTGTGATTAGCAACTAATAACTAAGTCAAATTGGCGCACTTCGCTTTGTTTCACTCTTGATTTTTATTTTGAAATATGAGACTCGTTTTTGCATTGTGTCGAGTTTGCTTGGAGTTTGCAAGAGTGATGAACTGAGAGTCGATAAATAAAGCGGATTCTGAAATATGTGATTCGAAACAAACTACTTTGATACACCATAACGGATTTTCATAAATTTTTCAAGTAACCATTTTATTTATGTTTTCCAGTTTTTACAACTGTAAACAACTTTTTAATTAAACTTATTTGAAGACATGTTGCGACGTGTGCTATTTATCTATGTTATTTTTAGTTATGTTTATTATTTCGCAAGTCAACTCATAACTACTTGCTTTTCACTTTAGACATAATTTAAATTATTATTCCCAGACACATCTGTGTAAGCCATACTTGTTCTCATACGAGTCAGTATTTACTACATTAAACAAATTAATACACAAATATTTTACATTATTGCAACATAATTCTGTATGTAAATAATGTTAAAAAAAGTTCTAATAGTTCGAAGTTTTTAATTCTATAATATTATCCCCACTTCTGATTGACTAACTAATTAAATGTGAAGAACTTGTTATGTAAATTTGCATTATTTGTTAATGCACATGTCTACACTGTATCTTTATTATAACTTTAATGTGCCTGAATCCAATTATTCCAGAACAAAGTTACAAAATATTGTTAAATAGTTAAGAACATACACAATTTAATCAAACCTTGATGTACCCTTATTTAAGTACCATTCTATGCATAGCATTTTCAAAATGGTTTAAATATGTTATTTTGTAAGTAATAATTTTCGTAATCGGTAATAGCGAATTTGCATTCTTTTGTTTTTGCTTTATTAATTTATCAAGTGGAGAAAAATACAATGAAAGGTGCAACTATTTAAAAAATAGTTACTAGCACGTGTTAATTCATTCCAGGCATTATTTACAAAGATTTGAAGCTATCTAAATTATATAAATCGGTTGTTTGTTACCCTCTTGTTCTCTTTCTAAAATTATAATATATATATATATATATATATATATATATATATTATATATAATATATATATATATATATATATATATATATATAAACGCGCACACATAGTTGGAAATAAAAACGGCTAGGAAACATTATATTCCACATACAGAAGATCCAATTAAAAAATACAAATTATTTTGTTTCAATATGTCAGAATAAATTATTCTGTAATTGCAACTCGTAGATTTTAAACTAACAAAGACGTAGAAATGAGCGATTAAAGGCCGTAGCTTGCTATTGTGATAATATATTTTATATTGTAACTATTGCAGTAAATTACAGTGTAATACCAATCATTTAAAAAAAAAGTATAAACTGTGGATAAGTTAGGAATACATACTTTCCTGCAATTTGCATGAAGTGACTTCAAATGAAAAGTCACTTCTAGTGACAACTGAATTATCTGACGTGTCACAGGGCAAATATTTCTTGAGCCTAAAAAGATGAACGGCCTTCTCCATATGAGTTCAGGTCCAGGGCAGATGCCTCCATCATTCAACCATCCTCATCATCCCCACTACAACGGCAGCAACCACCATCACCACACACCTCATCACCATCACGCTCATCTCGGCCAGCTGTACCAACAGCAGCGACCATCTTTCGCAATTCAGGAAATTCTGGGATTGAGTTGCAGGCAGCCGACATCTCCGTCGCCAGTCGGAGACTCGGGCCTGATGGACCATTCTGGGAGCCTGACTGCAGTGCAGAACAGTTTAAGCGGAATGTATTTTCCTTCGGCTCCATCTGTCTCGCAGTGTCTTCAGAGCGATCAACAGAACCAAGGCTATCATTCAAACCCACACAATACAGGATCGCATCCTCACAGCTCTGGCCCAAGCGCTATTTACCCATGGAGATTTGACCTCACGCCATCATCGACCCCACAGACCCTTCCAACCCCACGGTTTCCAGGGGTAGGACGCCACGGAGATGAACTCAACTTTGGCTACAAACACAACATCGCAGACGAAGGTAAGGATGTTTAAAATAATAGAATTAAGATAATATAATAATTTGTGTACCTTTAATTAAAGTTTAAGGTGCGATTATAGACTTTATCAAGCAAAGATATAAAACCGAGAGAAAAGTATTTCAGCAAACTTCACAATATAGCAAACAAAAACAAAACGTGAACGTTGCTGCTATGGAGCCTTCATCAGCACATACGTAAATAAAACAATACCACACAAATACACAAAATCACTGAGCTCAGTATCTCGAAGCGGACAGGTCGATGTCTTGTCAGTAGACTCATAGATTGTAGACATTGTTGCACTGTGTTTCATCATATGGCCCAGCTTCTCTCCAATATATTTAATATAATTAAAATGATTTACTGTTGCTAGAAATTTAGGCATAATTGGAACACATTCTTGTATTTAATATTTAGCTGTTGATAATGTTGACTGTTATTTGTTGACAGATGTTTGAATGAAATGGTGCACGAACCGAGGGAAATTAGAAGGGCAGAAAGTTAGACGGGCCTGCGTGCCCAATACTCAACCCTTTGAAAAAAAAAATCTGTTCGTTTATTCGTTACGTAGAAAGTTAGTCGCTTGCCGTGAGCGTCACTCGATGCAGGAACTCCGTAACTCAAGTGACGAAACCCAAGGATTTCTGTTAAAACTAGTCAACAGTAGGACGCAGCCGTGAAACGAACCAACGGCTTTCTTGACGCAAGGCAGATGGTTTGACCATTTCACCATAGAGACCCATATATCTTTCATGATATAGTAACCACAGTTTTCTTTAATTTTCAGCTGCAATAAAATAATTAAAGGGTGCTTGGGGTCTATGGATATGTGGTGCTAACCCAAGGTCCATGGATATATGGTGCTAACCCAAGTCCATGGATATATAGTGCTAACCCAAGGTCCATTGATATATGGTGCTAACCCAAGTCCATGGATATATAGTGCTAACCCAAGGTCCATTGATATATGGTGCTAACACAAGGTCCATGGATATATAGTGCTAACCCAAGGTCCATGGATATGTTGTGCTAACACAAGGTCCATGGATATATGGTGCTAAACATGGTTGATAATTATCATTCGATTTTCGTTGGTTTATTCGGCCAACATTGCCCAAGTCGGTTTTACTTACAGTGAATTTTTTTTTCCCTCTCTGATACCCATTTGAGATTGGGTCTTCTTATCAGCCATATGTCGATCATAAAAATCCGCTCCGTTTCGGATTCGAAACCGAGATATTCGGGCCGATAGGCAAGAGTCTTTCCACTGCAATTCTGCGGTTCAACTACAACATATAACTTTTTGGTAACATATTCTACTTCTTCTTAGAGAAAAATAAACTACGGCGGAAAGTTTGTTACATTTCATGTTATTGAGTACATTCATTCATTCATTCATTCATTCATTCATTCATTCATTCATTCATTCATTCATTCATTCATTCATTCATTCATTCATTCATTCATTCATTCATTCATTCATTCATTCATTCATTCATTATACTGTTGTTTCATTATAATTAGATAGGCACGCAGTCTTTTCCTCCACACCGTTCTATGCTCTGAAATCTGTTCCACGTTATGGATGGAATTTAGTCCAGCAGCGTTGGTTCTCTAACTTCCACATGCATATGTTAAAAGTGAATTACCGTTAGCATTGAAAATGTGTAATGTGGTTTTAGACTATACAATTTATAACTCCATATGTTGTTCAAGTTATTAAAACTCTTGATGCCTCCTTGCCAGTGCGTGTCATAATTGAGAACACACTATCTCATAAATGTGCAATTTGCTTCTTTTATTACGATCTGCCTCAGACATTTAATAATATAAACCTAATCATCTAATTGTGAGATGCAATTTTTTCGTTATTTTGGGGACGCAATATAGCCCTGCCATAAATATGGCACAATGGCTGAACGCGGTTTCTGTTACCTCTCCTCGAGTGATCCTCATCTGTATGGTGGCACTTTGTGTCATCGGGTGATAATCGCTTATGTGAAGTCCTAGTTGGGTACAATGTACTACTGCCACTACTCAGACATCAAATTAATGATAAGATATTAAGCTTTCTAATCGTCTAAAATATGACTGTACTAATTTGCTCATCTTTTACACGAGCACTCTACTGCTGCCATAAAAAAAAAGCATAATTTAAAAACCAAACTGTTAGGTTTCTGAAGTATCAGAGTCTATTCTACTTCTTTTACTCTGACACATTTAAGTATGTTGTTCTTCTCGCTCTTCTTCACGTTTACCATCTGCAAATCTGGCGGGAAAAGTCTTGCTTGTTGAACTTGTTTTTTGGACTTCAGTCTTTTTCCAGAACTTGAGTATTTCTTGCAGATCTGTTGTATAGATGTGACTTATTTCTATGTAGACTGCCGGTTTCTCAAGCAGACGCATTTCGATTTCCAAGGACATATCTTTGTTGTGGTTTGTTGTTCGTGTTCACCAGTTGTAAATCCTGGCAGAAAAACCTCGTTTTTCGTCCATTTCTGGTTTTGCCTGTGCATCAGTTTTATAGATCTTGCTTATTTGTATGCAGACTGTTGGTTCCTTGCCTCTCAGGCAGATTCACTCCGACTTTGAAGGAAGTCCCCGCCCTATGAGTCGCCTCTTATGACACGCTTGTTCGGGAGGCAGGGGGTCTATTCTTGTTTTTCCCACAGTGGGACTCGGGAAACCACACAGGGCAGAAGCATCTTTAAATCGTTGTCTTTTACGACATGCTTATGGGGGTTGGGGTGGGGTTGGCTGTAAGTTTATTATTTTCCCTCTAAAATATAGCCATGGAAAGCACACTGGAAAATTAAGAATCTAATATCAATATATTGTCTAAACCAGTATGTTTTTCGGCTCCACTGTCATGTGTAATTAATGCGACGAAACTTAGTATGTTGAACTGTATTCAGCTGATCTATAGTAAACGCACTGAACTATTGTCGAAGCACAGAGAGATATTACATTTTAGGCGCTATTTCCATGTCTTTATAAATCTATTTTCCACTTGATATGTGATGAGCTGAATATTACACTGGGAGCATTTACTTGAAAAAATATTTCCTTGTTTGTGGTTTTGACCTAGTAGTAAAAGTAGAGGACCCTTTCCTAACTCCTTATTCCTATTAAGTTTAGTGCTAGAACTATATTCTTTAGACAAATCAGAACTCAGTAAGTGATGCTGGCCGCCTTTATTTCCAAGGTCTTTACCTGGTACCCATTTATGGCAGGGTCGACATGAGAGCTTATACATTAAAAAAAATGTTTATTAATTTTTTTGGGGGGGTTGATTTATTTCGATTCTGATTTCCAGTCTAAAGGAGAACTTCTAGCTTTAGACCAAAATCGCTCCCTGTTGATTTTCCGGTAATAGTTGCAGCAGGAGAAACCAACCCTGAGCCTCATGAACTCAGGTGGGCCCACTCTCTTAAAATGTCTAGGAGCTGTGGGCTGAAACATTTGTCGACGAGAGGTTACTTCTACTGATGATTGGTAGACTCCTGCTGTACATGCTCCCCTGTGGAGTTTCTTCTTATCAAACCTGGAAACATAAAGAAATATGCGAGAACCGGATGGCAAAATAGTGCTAGCTACTGCACCAATCAAATCTGAACAGGAAATATTTTTTTTTTCCAACTTATTTGATCTTCTGAAGTTCCTTCTTGATTTGTTTCGGTCCCAGATTTTTAATAGCAGCTGCTTAAGGATAGAAGTAACCACTACGAAATATCACGAAAACAGTTGCGAATGGCAGAAATATACACTTTACAAAAATCATGAGTAGAGCTGTAAATGCCATATTTCTTTAGCATTCTGTGATCAAATACAAAAATATAGCAGAATATATTGCACAAGGCTTGGGATTTATGCAAGTCGTCCCTATGTTGGATGCGATTTTTCGTTATTTGAAGCCCCACCCTGGCTTTGGCCGGGGACCCTGAATATAGCCGGGCCATAAGTATGCCCCAGCGGCTGAAAGGCGTTTTTGGGACCTCTCCATGGATGATCCTCATCCGCATGGTGTCACTTTGTGTCACCGGGTATTTATCCCTTGTGTGATGTCCTGGTGGGGTACAAGAGAGAGAGAGAGAGAGAGAGAGAGAGAGAGAGAGAGAGAGAGAGAGAGAGAGAGAGAGAGAGAGAGAGAGAGAGAGAGAGAGGCGTGGAATTCATCAGAACCAGTTTAATAAACATGAATCGCTACTTAATAACGAAAAAATTATTCAAATTTTCTTCGTTGTTAGTCACACATATATATATATATATATATATATATATATATATATATATATATATATATATATATATATATATATATATATAACAACTCAACGCAGAAATTGCGTAGAATAGTGCCACTATGTGAAAGAAATAGGAAAACACAGAGTTTCGAATAGTGTTATTAAAAGAAAGAACATGAAAGTACCCTGGTGTAAATAGTTTCATTAAATGGACGGAACATAATACATTACCGTGGATATATTACTATCATTAAGTGAAAGAAACAGGCTAATAAAGTAGCATGAATAATTTTATTAGGGTTAAATAAAAACAAGAAATAAAGTGGCAGAACACTATCATTACGGGAAAACAATAAATTGCAGTTTATTTACCAGATATGATATCTTTAAGAAATAATCCAAAATAATTGGTCTTATCAGTATCATTGAGTTATAGCGGATACACGTGTATGGTTAATGAAAGACGTATACAAGTAATGTGACTAGAAATGGATCATTTAGTAAAAGATTAATTATAGTAGATATACATGTACAATTAAATCACACTGGATACATGTAAAAACATGAATTACAGTGGATAGATTAAAATCATTAACTTAAAGGAAAACAAAATATGGTAACTATAATAGAATTATTTTGTTTGAACACGTTTGAACAACGGATCAACATCATGGCACATAGGAAAAAATTAGAATGATGCTAGAATAGCAGCATTTAATGAACGAAATAGAAGGAAGTTGCTAAAATAACATTAT